GCCAGCTCTAGGGGCTGGGTGAAAGCCCCTCAGCCTTGGGCTTCAGCTCTGCCTCCTGCTCCTGGCCCACTGAAATTAGAGGCTTTTCTTCAGTTGGACAGCTGCTGGCTACTGAGGTTGCCAAGCCCAGGGTTGACAAATAAAAAGGCACAGTCCTGATATTACCAAATCACATGGCAGGCCCTTAATCCAAGTCCATTGTAAGTCCCAAGGTTAGCAGAGCATGGCAGGCTGCTACACAACAACACGGCTACATGCAGGGTTCAAGGTGCCATAAGCTGGAGACCATTCCCCAAGGCTTCTGCTTATAAACAGGAAGCAGACCACATTCCCTAAGACAGCTACTTGGCTGCTCACAGTAGATTCCACCATGGAGTTGATTACCAATCTCATCATGGGGAATACTACATCCAGCTGCCCAGCCATTCAACCAGGCCCAGCCAAGTTGACACACAAACTGAACTACCACAACACCCAAGGGAGATGACAGACAATGAGGTGGGTTTTTTTGTTTGTTTGTTTGTTTTTATAGTTCCCTTTTACCTAGATTCTAGCTTTGTGGGCCAGCAAACCTCTTGACTATTTGTTATTTCTCAGAACCTACATTTTATTCCTCTCATCTCACTGGGAGAAACATTGTAGAACTCTAACAAATATACATTCTTTTCTGGAAATGTTATGCATCAACATTACTGTCCATTTGAACAGTAATGTGTATTTATTGAGCACCACTTTATACCTGACACTAACTCGTACACTTGACTACAAAGAAATATGACAGCATCCTTGCTTACAAAGGGTGTATAATCTTTTGGTAAAGCCGAGATAAATAAACATCAAAGTTATCACATAGTATTATGATCTACCTTATCTTCAGCGCAAATATATATAGCCTTTAAAATGTGCTATATATAAAAAAAGAAAAACCAAACTCACCGCCATCAAGTCAATTCCAACTCATAGCAACCCCCTTTGGGTTTCCAAGGCAATAAATCTTTAGAGAAGTAGATTGCCTGGCCTTTCTTCTGCATAGTGGCTGGTGGGTTTGAACCACTAGTCTTCTGGTTAGCAGTAAAATGCCTTAAGCACTACATCATCAGAGCTCCAAAATGTGCTATATATATTAAAAAAAAAAAACCAAACTCACTGCCTTCAAGTCGGTTCCGACTCCCAGTAACCCCTCCTTGGATTTCCAAGGCGGTATCTCTACGGAAGTTGATTGCCCAACCTTCCTTCCAAGGAGTGGCTGGTAGGTTTGAACTGCCAGCCTCCTGGTTAGCAGTCAAATGCCTTAGGTACTATGCCACCAGAGCTCCCAAAATGTGCTATAGGGACTATTAAAGAACAAACTTGACAGTGTATACAATTTGGGAGACACTACATATACTATGATTCTATTCACATTTTTTCCCTCCTTAGGTAACTTTTATCAGAATTACATCTCATAGTTAATTTGTGTTGTAGCTGAAAAACCATTGGCTCAAAGTAAGTACAGGAATATCTGGGAGATATTGCAGTTTGGTTTCAGACCACTGCAATAAAGTGGATATCACAATAAAGTGAGTGACATGAATTTCTGTTTTCCAATGCATATACAATTATATTTACACTATACTGTAGTCAATTATTAAGCGTGCAGTGACAGTGAGCTCTGGTGGCGTAGTGCCTAAGGCATTTGACAGCTAAGCAAAAGGCTGGCGGTTCAAACCCACCAGCCAGTCCTCGGAAGGAAGACGGGGCAATCTACTTCCGTAGTGATACTGCCTCAGAAACCCAAGGAGTGTCGCTATGAGTAGGTCCGACTCCACGGCACATAACAACAACAACAGCATTATGACAAAGTTTGAAATATTGAGAATTTCCAAAATGTCACACAGAGACACGAAATAAGCACATGCTGTTGGAAATATAGTACTGATAGACTTGGTCTACATAGGGTCGCCATAAAACTTCAATTTGTAAAAAACGAAATCTCTCAAGTGCAATAAAACAAGGTATGCCTGTATATTCTGGAATCTAGCTGCTACTGAAATACTAAGATAAATGTAATATATACAGTAAAGGCATGGGCTCTGGACTCATTCCAAAGCCTCCTTACATCAAGTTACCTCACCTTTTAACTCCCCAAACCCACTGCCATCAAGTCCATACAGACTTATAGTTAGCCTGTAGGACAGAGTAGAACTGCCCCATACAGTTTCCAAGGCCATAAATCGTTATGGAAGTAGATTGCCTTATCGTTCTCCCATGGAGTGGCAGATGGGTTGGAACTGCCGACCTTTTGATTAGCAGCCAAATGCCTTAACACTGTGCAGCAGAGCTCTTTTTTTTAACTCTTCAGAATGCTATGAAATAAGGAAAAGATTGTACCTCCTACTTCATTTGGTTGTGGGGATTAAAAGAGCTAAATGCTATAGGACGCTAGCTGATCTCTAGATTTTCAGATCTAACGTCCTCTACCTCATTGCCCTACTCGAGTTTGCTTTTTTGATCCGTTTCCATCTTCGCTCTCCCTTCTAGACCTTTACTTTCTAATTCTAAATCTATACTTTCAAATTCCATCTTATTTGAATTTTGAAAGTCCCCTTTTGAGTTTCGTACAAACTATCTCGTCCCTCAATAAAAACAAACATATATTTTTTAATTAGAAACGAACGGTTTCAGAAATAGAAGCCGGGGGATAGCTGACACTACTGCACCACACTACGTCCTTCAGCCCAGAGCGCTGCACGCTGGGAGTCGTAGTCCAACACAGGAGTTCGTACCCCCGCGCCTTTCCAGTTCGAAAAGCGGTAGGCGGGGCGTTAGGGAGGGTATGAAGCGCTCTCGAAGCTCCGCCCGTGCTCCCTTCCGCTCGTCGGGTTCTCAGTAGAGTGGCGCGCCAAGCCGCGGAAGGGGCGTGCCATCGGGTCTCCGGTGGCGGCCGTTGCCGCCACCAGGGCCTCTCCGGGCAGTGCTGCCAAAGCCGGCCTGCGCGGGCAGTGGTGGTTCTCCTTTGAGTCGGCGAAGAGCAGGGCGGGGCCTGGCTGGCGGGTGGCGGCCTGGGCGGGGGCGGGGCCGGCCTCTGGATCCTTCTTCCTCTGCATGTGGCTTGGGGCCGCAGATCAATTCAGTTTGCACATTCTTCCCCGGCTCCCCTTCGGGCTCTGCTAGTGTCGCTGGAGCCATGGCGTTCGCCGAGACCAAGCCAGCGGCATCTTCCATGCCCAACGGCGACTGTGGTCGCCCTAGGGCGCGGCCGGGAGGGAACCGGGTGACGGTGGTGCTCGGCGCGCAGTGGGGCGACGAAGGCAAAGGGAAAGTGGTGGATCTATTGTCGCAAGACGCCGACATCGTTTGCCGGTGCCAGGTGAGGCCACGGGGCTGTGACGGGAAGCAGGGCCCAGGAACTCAGGCTGTCTGGCTTCTAGTACCCCGGAACTCGGGTCCAGAATCCGAATCTACTGGTCATAATAAGGTGTCACCTTGAGGTTCTCTTTTGCTGCAAGAGGCGGCGACTTGAAGAAATGGCGGTAGGTCGGGGACTCCTGACCTGGGGTCTTGGTTGAAGTGTGGGGTGGCTTTGGAGGAGAATGAAGGTTGATGGGGAGGCTTTGAGAGATGCACGATGCCCGAAGAGTTGCAGTTTTCGGTTTTGGGACCTGTGTTCAGCCCATGAATAGGGACGAGGTGGGTGGAATGTGGTCCAGGTTTGAGGAGGTACCGCCCGAGGCCTTCTCCTGACTCGGCGGAGACCTGGCATAGCAGCGGCACCACTTACCTCCCACCCACCCTGGGCGGCCAGGTGGGATTGGATTGTTCTGAAACGCCCCGAAATCCAGCCTCACCGCTCTCTCACCTGCAGGCCTGGGGCATACAGATCTTAGCTTCTTCCGGTCCAGTTTGTTTGTTGCCCTCCTCTGAGCTTTGGACTGTTTAAGGGCGTCGGTTTTTTTTTTTGTTTGTTTGTTTGTTTATTCGTTACGCCATAATTAATATTAAGGAGGGATTATTTTTATTTGTTGGACCCAGCGGAAGAAATTCTTGCTGTGGTAAATGAGGCAGGCAAGTAAATACATTGTTAGGGTCACATCGAAAGTGAACTTCAGGGAAATGGAGTGGTAATATACTTCCTACCAGGAGACACGTGGTTTTCGGTGTACTCTTTTCTTCCCACTTGGCCTTTGCTTTGAAAGCAGCCTAGAGGGTAGGCCTTTGTAAAGGATCTCTGATAACTGTTTGCGTTTCAGCGTTAGAAATAGTTGAGCAGTATACCACTTTCAAAGCAAAATGTAATGTACTACCTGAGGATGACTGCTGTCTGTTTAGATTGCAAGAATATTTCTTGTTCTTGAATGTACATGGCATGCATGATGTGATGATGTCTGTGTATGTTGTAACAAGTTAGTAGGCTGACTTGATTGGAAGCTTTATACCTAAAATTGAATACCATGTGAGCATGCAGAAACAAGGAAATTGCAGTTATATAAAAAACTATGAGGAAATATTCCCAGATTTACCTTGTTTTCTGTATACAGAATTCAACCTGCCCTTGACACCCATTCCTTGGGTAGGATAGCTATTGCATTAATTGTCTGTTACCATCACTACCACCTCTCCTTTCCTGACAACTCCCTATTCCTCCACCCCTTCCCAACAAACACACCTTAATAACACTCCCAAAGGTGTTGCCATTGAATTCCTGCCTCAGACTAGCTTAGGACCTCTTCCAGAAGCCCAGCCTGCCCCTTCCTTTTGTCTTAAAATCAGTTTTGGCCATGCTGTGGGAAAGAAGGATGGGAATACCTACCTCTTGTTAGGTAGAAGGAGAGAGAGGTTGAGGCTTGTTTAACTCCTTTACTCCCCAACACACCGGACATCCCCTTTACCTGTAAATAGTAATGCTGAAGTTGAGCTGCATTATGGATTGAAAGGTTCTGGCAATGTAACTATTATAGTGTATATTCTAAATGATCCTAAATTTTAATATTCTTTTGAAAAATATTAGCATTGGTGTTGCAGATTGGAGAAGGTATTACTGTATCACAGAGGAAGTCATCTTGAGATCATAAACCAATCTGATCTGATACCTTTGGAAAACCTAGAGAAGGATACAAGTTTGGCTTTAAAACGTTAGCTGAAGATGGTGGAGAGACACTTGAGCAGACTTAGCCTGAATTTCCTTACCTGTACATTTTTTTACTTTAATGCCTTCTGTAGTAATTCTAAAATCTTTACATTTTTCTAGTGTTTTTTAAGAACTTATCATTAGAAGGATTCTAATTAGTCTTGCTAGTGAAAAGTAGGTAAATAATGAATAGATTTTTAAGCATACCTCTTTATGAATCACCTTTGATCATTACTAGTAGGCTGATGTCTACTTAATGAAGTTCTCCCAGTATACTAAAGTGAACAGTATAGAACATGTTGAAATTCTCAGAGTTTAGTATTGATTTTGCCATATCATGACAAGAACTCAAATTTTATTCAGCATTGTTTCTCTAAAAGTAGTATAAACAATGTAACCATATTGAACAATGGAATCATCAAATAAGGAATTTCTTATTTTTTTAACTAGGTTTTTTTTTTTAACTAACATTTAACTATATTTAATATATAAAATGCCTTTCTGGAAAGAACAGATGCAAAATTAATGGCATTTTCATCAGTATAACAGTTAACTCTTACATCGTTCAGATTTTGGATTTTGGGGAGTTATTTGTAACTTGCTAGGTACTCAAATCCATAAATAAGGGTAAAGGACTAGCTTCAAAGAACAACCACTGCTGATGCCTTAATTTTAAGTCAGTACATCTTTTAAGTAAAAGTGGAGAAATATGTATAGGACCAACTTGAGACAAAGTTCACTCATCAGAGATTATATTGAGTTTCTCTACAGGGTACCACTTAACCCTGGAATTGAAAAGGTAAGGGTTGTGCCTACAAGGAGCTTAAAGTTTAGTTGGAGCAACTGCTTTGCCAACAAGTAATTGCCAGGATCTTGATGGATATAGGTAGTCTCTAGGTTAGGAGCTCTGGTAGTATAGTGCCTAAGGCATATTTGACTGCTAGCTAGAAGGTTGACAGTTCAAACCCCCCAGCCCCTCCTTGGAAGGAAGATTGGGCAATCTACTTCCCTAGAGATACTGCCTCGGAAACCCACGGAGGGGTCACTATGAGTTGGGATCGACTCGACGGCATTGAGTTTGATTTTTGGTTAGTCTCCAGGTTACAAATAAGATCCATTCCTCAGTGTGTCTTTTAAGTGGAATTTGTAGGTAAGTTGGTACAGGTGCATGGTGGTATAGTGCCTAAGACATTTTGACTGCTAACCAGAAGGCTGGCGGTTCAAACCACCAGCCACTCCTTAGAAGGAAGACTGGGCAGTCTACTTCTGTAGAGATACCGCTTCGGAAACCCAAGGAGTGGTCACTGTGAGTCAGGATCGACTCGACAGCAGTGATTTTGTTTTGTTTGTATGTTTGTTTGTTTGTTTTAGTGCAAGAAGGAGCTTTGGTGACCCAGTGGTTAAGACATTTGGCTGCTAACCAGTAGGTCAGTAGTTTGAACCCACCAGCCAGTCTGTGAGAGAAAAATGGAGACAGTCTGCTTTTGTAAAGATTTACAGCTTTGGGAACCCTATGGGGCAATTCTGCTGTGCCCTGTAGGGTCTCTATAAGTTGGAATCAACTTGATGGCAGTGGGTTTTTGACTTAGTACAAGAAAGGCTCAATGCCTTTTCAATAATGTAAAAGCTGCATGTGCAGCAAGTGAAGGTGACTGTTGAAGAAAGAATTTGTTGCAAGTAGAGCTTGGTCCCATCATTTCAAAGTGAGGGGAATTTACATAATAAAGGGCAAGTAGTGTGGGTTATAGGTAAGTAGAATGTTCATGTTCCTAACCTGAGAATTTACTGTGTGTGTATATGTATGTGTATCTCCACATGTAGGTTGGAGAGAAAGAGGGGAGCAAGCAATTAATTCTCTCTGAAGTACTGGAGTAGGGTACTTGTATTGTTAGCTGCTGTGGAGTCAGCCCAAAACTAAAGCAACCCTATGCACAGTGCAGTCAGACCCTTGTGATCCATAGGGTTTTCATTGGCTAATTTTTTGGAAGTGTATCATTAGGCCTTTCTTCCTAGTCTCTCTTGATGTGGAAGCACCCCTGAAACCTTTTCAGCCTCATAGAAATAGGGACTGACAGGTGGTAGTGGCTATATTTGGTAGTAGTGCAGGTTTTTCAAGTAGTTGAAGGATGGGAACAAGACCACTTTCAGACAGCTCAAAGTTGATGTATGAAGAAGCCTAAATATCACTGTCTTCCCTCAAATTCACAGGAAGTAAAATACTATACTTTGTTTCCTTTATTTTGTTGAGAAGAAATTATAGTCACTTTAAGAGTTTATGCCAGGCCTTATCCAAGGGCTTTATTGTTCTTGGAGAAAGAGCTTGGTGGTCCTGTTTACAATGAAGTTGGCATGTAATCAGGAATAGTTAGAGCAGTATTCCATTTCTTTGCAGGTTTTTAATGTCAATATAAGGAGCTCTGGTGGCACAGTGCCTAAGGCATTTGACTACTAACCAGAAGGTTAGCAGTTCAAACACACCACCTGCTCTGTAGAAGAAAGAAGAAAGATGGGACAATCTACTTTGGTCAGGATTTACTGTCTTGGAAACCCAATGAAAGTCTCTGTGAG